TCCGTTTACCGGACTTAACGGCGCCCTGGGCAGGAGGGGCTGCCTGCTTTCGAGGTGAACGCCGCGCCCGCTTGGCCGGAGGCGCAGGCGGGGGCGGGGCAGCACTCGTTGGCGGGCGCCCTCGGCGAGGAACAGCGGAGGTGGATGGCTCGGCGGGCGGAGCGGGCTTACGGCCACGCCGATAGATGACATTGCCCATCGCATCCGACTGCTCTTTCACCGCCTTGAATTCCTGGGTGAATTCACCGACGGTGTCGCCGAACAGGCCAGCCTGGGATATGGGCGAGTCAAGAAAGCGAACTTTGTCAACGTCGCGCATATCGGCCAGGTTTAGCCAGAGGTGGCGTTCCTGAACCACAAGTGTTGACATCGTCCTCCCCAGCGCACACGCGGCGGACTTAGTAGTCCGAAGAGCATAGTCGGTCGCGGTGCGCAGCTCATGTAATAAGCTTGGGTTGGACCCGCCCTCGTGCAGCTCGGCCAGCGCCTGCGCTTGGTAGCGCTGGTAGGTGGCCATCGCGTGCAAAGCAGAAGCAGCCTGGCCCGCAGCCTTATAAGCTCTGGCTCCGAGGGAGGCAGACAACCTACAGGCTTTGGACGGGAGGCGGGGCAAACCCCGCCACGTAGAGGCGCCGCGCGGACAAAGATTGACCGCGAAAGCGCGCTCCACTGACGGGATCGCCTCATACCCCCTGGCAGCTCCGCCGTCAAGGGCGGTGAGGGCGGAGGCACTCGCAGCACGGGCAGAGAAAGGTGCCCTCCAGGACTGCGTGAGCCTACTGTGCACTTCCGGGAAGAAGGGGACGAGAGGCTTCGAAGGCTTCGCCTTCTGGTCCTCTACGTAGCACCCATCTAGTCGGTCCGGCCGCGGAGCTGGGGGATAAACCATCTCCAACCCCACGGCCGAAGCAGCCCGGGAAAGCACGGCTAACATGTCCGCTTCAGGATCCGATTTGACAGCGCTCACCTGCCCGGAGGGGGCGAGCGGGTCCGGATCTTCGTCGGACAGTGAAAGCCCACCCTCCGATGCCGCGGAGGACATCTGATCTCCGGTGTCAGCGAGTGTGAGAGCTACCATCTGGTTAGACGGATCACTCTCACCACCCGAAGCTTGGATGGAGCGCCGTGAGGAGCGAGAGGTCCGCGAGCCCGTGGGCGGCGGATTAGCTCCCGCTGAAACCCTCAGATCTGCCCGAGCGCCCGCTGCTTTTTTAGAACAGGAGGCAACTAGGGTGGCTCGCTCTCTAGTGAAAGTTAGCCGCGATCTTAGCTGTGCAACGGTCATGGCATCGCAATGACGACATGAACCGCCCGCGAGCACCGCATTAACATGCTGGACCTCCAAACATGAAATGCAGTGTTCGTGTCCATCATCCGGAGACAGGAAACCCCCGCATCCAGAAACGCACAGTCGGAGCGCCATCCTGAAAAGGACGTGCTGCACGACTGTGTTGCTCTTTTAGGAAAGTTGCAACTATACGCACCGCTCTGGAGGACCGGACCCAAAGAACCGCAGGCAAGGGAGTAACCCAGCTCGACCGTCTGCCACCGCGAAGACCCACTCTGGACCGGGAGACACACTCGTTCGCTCTGAAGTGCTGATCAGCAAGAGGAACCCTCATCGACTCACTCAGAAAGGATCTGAAGCGAAAAGGATGGCGTCTGCTGGCTTCAGGTGTGCTTATATGCTGAGATAATTGCAGATGTCGCACACCTGCGCAAGCTTACGCTGCCAATTAATTTCATTCATTGGCCCGTTCAATACTCTCCAGATAAGCGGCTTCTGATCCGAATCCTCCCATTCATGGCACTGAAGTTCCCCAACCGAAGGGGAACTCAATAAGTCAACTCCAACCGTTTGAAGAAAACCAATATACAAACCATTTGAGTAAAAAAAATGTATGAGTACTGTGAACTTACTCCAATTAAGTTGAAGTAATGAGGTATTTAATTAACTCATTACCTTTAACACTGAGTTCAAAACTCTTTTCAAATGAGTAGAATTAACTTTCAGTCAGTTGTGAGTTAACTACACTCATTTCCTTTGATGAAGTCGACTGTTTTATATATATATATATATATATATATATATATATATATATATATATATATATATATATATATATATATTAATTTCAAGATACACAAATGAAACTATCAAAAAAGTCTTTGCAATCATATATAAATATAACATTACTGTACAGTTAAAACATTGCTAAATAACACTGAAATGAACATTGTTATAGTTTTAAATTATTATATGTTGTTGTTTTATTAAATTAGGTTGCATTTTCAGCTGATATTCAGCAGTGTTTAAACTGTGCAGTCTTTTAATTTTTTTAGATAAGATTGCAAAGATTTATTTTTATTTGTTACTAAGACTAATTGTCATTTATAAAGGCGTCACAGTGGTGCAGTGGTTAGTACGATCGCCTCACAGCAAGAAAATTGGTTCGAGCCCCAGCTGGGTCAATTGGCATTTCTGTGTGGAGTTTGCATGTTATACCCATGTTCAGGTGGGTTTCCTCCGGGTGCTGCAATTTCCCTCCACAGTCCAAAGACATGTGTTATAGGTGAATTGAATGAGCTAAACTGCCCGTGTATGAGTGTTTCTCAGTGTTGGATTGTAGCTGGAAGGGCATCTGCTGCGTAAAACATATGTTGGATAAGTTGGCGGTTCATTCCACTGTGGCAACCCCAGATCAATAAAGGGACTAAACCGAAAAGAAAACGAATGAATGAATGAATTTATACGGTGAGGTAGATGATACGATACCTGATCGGTGAGCCGTCTGACAAAAAAGTACTCTTCTGGATCAAATCAGCAGGATGCCTGACTTTAACTGCAGTTCAGCAGTTTCACATTTGAACATGAACGTTTGAACATTTCATTCATGCCATTTATGCATGCTACATATATATTATATATATATTAGGGGTGTAACGATACACAAAAGGCACGGTTCGGTTCGGTTCACGGTTTTGGAGCCACGGTTCGGTTCGGTACGGTTCGGTTTCTGTTTGCTGTGGGGTTAGGGTTGATGTCATGTTAACAGCAATGCTAAGGGACGATTCACTTAATAACAAGAACATCTTAACTTTTTCTTTATTAACTTTGTCATCGCATTTTTAGTACAGTCAGGATACCCGAGTAAACAACTAGAATTAAATAAATACCTCCAATATAGACTAGTCAGAAAAAAACTATTCTCTTTAGTGGAGCCATCTTAACTAAGTAAACTAAAATTAAATAAATAACTGCAGTGTAGACTAGTGAAAGATCTTCTTCAAAAACACCATAATATCCACATTCTCCGATGAGAGGCTTAATCTCTGTGCAGACACAGACGCTCATTTTTGATTATATGGTTTCATTTAGATAGATAGGTTTCTGTTTAAATTAACGAAAAATATACATATAATGTGTTTGTAAAGTGTTTTTTCATGACATATTCACCAGTAAAATACATTGCGGTTGTGTCTGAAACTAATGTTAGGGTTGTAGCCGGCTGTATGTTTGCCTCCCGATCTCTCTCTCTCTCTCTCTCTCCCGCTCCCTCTATGCCTGTAATTTCTGTAGGTCCACCTTTTTGACAGCTGATTGGTCAGGAGACCGATCTATCATCATTTGGCGACGCAGCGCGGGAATGTAAAAAGCATGTCAGGAAGAGCGGGAGAGAGAGCGCTTTTTCCTTTGATCTCGTTTTTCGTGTATTTTTCTGACATGATTATGATTTTCGTTGTTTTTGCTTAACTTTCGTTTGGGTAAAATTATTTTGCATTACTTTTGCCCACTTTAAGAAATTTTGTGAGGTTTGTACATTTTTATTTCAATTGATTTGTATATTATCCGTTCCTTCCCGACAATATAGCTGTATCTCCTCAAGTTCAGTCTTAGTGTAAGGTGGATAGGGAAAATGTCATACGATTTCCATTTTGCAAACACGTAGAAAATGTATTGTTAAAGACATCAGGTAAGAGGTGAAGGTCATCTTTGTTTATTTTATTCAGTATAGGGAAGAATGCGACGCACGGCGCTGAAGACCTTTTTTTTCTTTTCATCAGTTTTAGCGAGGTAAGAGGGGTTATTCATGAGTTAGAAATGTTTTATTATATTTATTTCTTTTGTTTGTCTTCACTATCACCCCCTTGCTCGAGTTTAACTAATTTTTGTTTGATACTTTTGTTTGAATTTGTTACTTTATTATATTATTTTTATTAGTGTAAATATTTCTCTTTTTTGTATATTTGGGCATTATTCTGGTTTTACTTTTGTACATTAAATCACTTTTGTTGGCAGTTCTGCTGCTTACACCCTCACGTTGTGAAATTACCACAATTTTTAAATGTTTTTCCTTACAAGTAAGTTTCGTGAAACAGTTGAGACAGACAGGCGTGCGCTTTGTCTACGACACAAATTCTATTCCTGTACTCAACTGGAAAACCAAAATGTTTCCACACAGATGACTTAAATGTGTCTGGGGGATCTGCAATCTCAGTAAAGCAGCCATCCTGCGTCCAGTAGTAACGAGTGTGATGCTTACTCAAGTCACATGACATGACATGCACTAAAATACTAACTTTAGAATATAATATTTAGAACAAATCCTCATAATTACTAAAACAATTTAATCAAATATGATATTAAAGATGTGTTTAAATTGGTTCAATTAGTTAGAGACAAGTGACGTCAACCTCAACAATGGGCAGCAGGGGGCGTGAGAGTACCGCGGTACGCCACAAGAGTTTCGCGATACGTATCGTGGATGGTGTATCGCGATATTTCGGTTCGGTTTTAATATCGTTACACCCCTAATATATATATATATATATATATATATATATATATATATATATACACATATATATATACATATATACATATATATATATACTGAATTAGTATGCTGTTGGTGAAAAAAATTCACTGCTTCAGGAAAAAAAAACATAATGTGGGTGGAGGCAGGAAATTTCTTGATCAAGGCAGGAGTATTTAAGCATTACAGTTGATAATAGAGAGAGAGAGCAGAAGAAAAAAACATTCAGTCAGGGCATACTGCAGTGCTGAAGAATGAAGTTTAACTCAGTCTTCTGTGTGGCTGGAGCCATACTTCTCAACATTGCAGGTAAATTCACCAATAACTTGAATTACTTTCAAAAGTATTTTTAATTACCAATTGTAAGACTGAATGTTTTAGCAACATTAATTGTTTAACTAAAGGTTTTTGCACATTTGTTGTAGGGTTTCTTTACAAAGTGAAATCACTGATCTGAAATAATACAATGTTTTCTGTCACTTTCTAAAACACGAAAGAAAAATCTTTCCGTTTAGGTTCAGTTGCTGTTGTCCAGAATTTCACCTATTATCTAAATGTATGGCAGCAATCCAAAACCATTCAAATGTTATATTCTTGACATTAATTCTAGCTCAGTTCATGCAAATCACATAAATAACATGTATGGAAACACATTTTTAGTAAGCCCTTTACAAATAACGAATTTCTTAATTTTATTTTACCGAAACAGGCTGTCTGGGTCAGTCAGATGGTAAGTTTCTGTATAATCCAAACTCATATTCATTCACATCGAATGTTTGGTTGTGAATGTGTTGTAAACAGATAATAGTCAAATCGTCTTTTCTCTCATCAGTCTGTGGTCGAGCGCCTCTCAACACCAAGATTATTGGTGGACTGAATGCAACACAAGGGTCTTGGCCGTGGCAGGCCAGCATTAACTTAAAGGCAACTGAAGAATTTTATTGCGGTGGGTCTCTAATCAATAAAGGATGGGTTTTGACAACAGCCAAAGTCTTTGCATTGTAAGTATCTGATGGCTAATTTTATAATTATCCTATACTTATAGGACTTTTTCATCAGAAACTTTAATATATTCCAGAATCACATGGTCTGCACAGTTAAAAACAATATATCTATGTTTCCAGAATGCCTGCTTCTGACATTGTGGTCTACTTGGGACGTCAGACTCAAAATGGCTCAAACCCATATGAGATATCCAGGACAGTGACGAAAATCATCAAGCATCCGAATTATAACAGTCTTGACAGCAATTTAGCACTTCTCAAGCTCTCTTCCCCTGTGACTTTCAGTGATTACATTAAGCCGGTCTGTCTGGCTGCTGCTGGTAGTGTGTTTGTCGATGGGACAGCGAGCTGGGTTACTGGATGGGGCTATTTAAATAGGCCCGCTACAGTGGAGGGTGAGTTTTGAATGGTTTTGAAGCAAACTTTTAAAGCAAAATTAAGAAATTTCTATGTGGTTTCCACAAGGGTTGCAACAAATTTTGGCCATCAAAAAGTATCTGCAAAAAAATAGCATTTTCAGTTTTTGACCAAAAAATAAAAAATAAAAAATTTGCTGGAAAAAAAATAAATAAAATAAAAATAAAAAAACCTAAATTGCCGCTTGCAATAATGCTACTGCCATGACAATGACTAAGAGATTGGGAATCTAAATAATGGTTAGGTGCATTCCAATGCAAATTGCCACAGAAACAAACAAGAGTTTTGTTTAGTTAGTTTTTTCTATTTGTAGCTCTAAATTAAGAAGTTATAAATAATACATCCATATTATTCTGTCTTAAGCAATGGAGTGAAACTAAAGAAGCTGAGAACAGATTCAGAGGGTGTGAATCAAATAAATAAATGAGTTCCTTTTATAATTTTCGTTATTTGAGGTACAAGCATTTACAGGTAATTGCAAATTGTATATATATGGTGTATATATAATACAATTTACCTATAGAAATAAATGGAATGCAGGCTACTGTCTCTCATATTCTCAAAATGCATTGCCGTTTGATACAATCTCTCATTCTCTATTAAATGTGGTTATTTTATTGGCTATTTTTTATTTTTTTAATCAGAACAATAAGAAGTTATTGGGGTAAATTTTAAAGAACATTTCATTGTTTAAAGAATAAATCATAATTGCTTGAATTTTTCTGCCAATTGACACAGAATTTTCATTTTGGTGCATCCCTACTTTTGACTGATCTGTGCATCTATTTTATGTGCCAGAAATCATGCTTCCTGATGTACTGCAGGAGGTGGAGGCCCCTATTGTGAACAACTTTGAATGTAATGCTGCCTATGGAGGAATCATAACAAATAAACTTTTATGTGCTGGATACTTAAATGAGGATGGAAAAGCACCATGTGCGGTAAGACATTTTATCAGGCACTTTTTATCCATTGTTTTTCTCCAACAACGTGAGAGACCAGAGGTCTGATTAACAAAATTTGTATAAAAACATTCCCAAAAGTGAAGGTACACACTATAATACAATATTAGTTTATTAATTGATGATGATGGCTCATATGATGAAGTGCTTCAATTAAGTCAATAGTTAAGTTAAATATGTTTACTCAATTGCACATTCACCAGTCAAGTTTTGTTTCCTTTCGTGTGGCATATACAAATTTTCGCCCCCATTTTGTGCTTACCACATTTATAAATAAGACATCCTGAAATGGTATATTTTACTATATTACCAATGCAGATCTTCATCCACATGTCTACCCTAAATAGTAAAACTTGCATATCAAAATCTAGAACTATATGTATTACTTTTTTGCCCTCCACTTATTTTATTTTTACTCATATCATAATAGTAAGATAATGGGAAGAATAACTGAACATGAATTTGAACAGGTTATATTTACACTATTGTACATCCAAAAACTGTAACTTTAAAATTACTTTATATATTTATGACTTTCTAAAAGAACTACTACAATTGTTATAACAATTTCTGTCATGTTTCATGGTGCACCACATCTCACACTCATATCTCTAACAGTGTGATTGTTGAAGTGTAAACTGTGTTTGTCTTTGCAGGGAGACGTTGGAGGTCCACTGGTCATCAAGCAGGGCGCCATCTGGATTCAGTCTGGAGTTGTGGTCAGTGGTTATTGTGGTCTACCTGGCTATCCTACTATATACGTCAGAGTGTCTGAATATGAGGACTGGATCAGCTACTACACAAACAGCAGCCTGCCTGGATTTGTCTCATACCCCCTCATTTTGACTTTCACTGGAGGATCAGTCAACCTCTTCTCATTTCCCCTTGCTCTCGCATTCTCCATCATCCCTCTCTTCATCTCACGCTTCTTTTAAAGATTGAGCCATAATTTGTTGGATGTGGTACTGCAGCGATTATGACAATTTACTATACTCACTCACAGAAAAGGGTGATTTAGGCAGTCCTTTTTCTAATCTTTTCTTTGGTGGAAACTTTTTATATCAATTTAATTTGGGGTCAGTTTATATTAAGCACAAAACTGTGATGTAATGAAGCATTCTTTTGAACGAGAAGCTTTACGCAATGTATTCATTTATAAGTGCAAATCAATTAACATGCACCTGTTGCAATGTAATCCATTTCTGTATTTTTCTCAAACTAATCATTCCCTATGCAAAATAAACAATGAAAATCATTTTTGTGGAAGTTTTTTTCCTATTATTGTATTTAAGTTTGGGTCAGTGTACTTGATCAAACTATAAATGACTAAATAAACCTAATTATTTTAAATGTGGATGGAAAAAAAAGATATTTAAAAGGGTGTTTGCTCAAAGCTGTGCATAAACCACTTTATATCATTATGAAAAACTTAAACATATTCAAGTCTTAAAATGTTTACAGTTTTGCTAAAGCTCTGGTTACTAAAGTAACCCTCGTTCCCCGAGGAGGGGAACGGAAATGCTATCAGTGGATTTATTTATTAATCCACAAATGGGAATTTCGTTTCAGAAAGCCAATCGTCTGAAAGAGTAAATAACAGGCCAATGAAATGCCAAATGAACTGGCAGCGTAAGCTTGCGCACCTGAAACTTATTGCCAGTTAGCTCCGCATATAAGCACAGGGAAGCAAGGAAACGCCATCCTTTTAAGCTGAAGAGACTGACACTTACAGCTAAGGAACAATCATTATGGCGATGCTATATAGCATTTCCGTTCCCCTCCTCGGGGAATGAGGGTTACTTTAGTAACCAGAGCGTTCCACTTCGAATGGGGAACTTCAATGCTATCAGTGGATTTATTTATTAATCCACAAATGGGAAAATGTCTGGAAAACACCATAACGACTGCACCTTACCTTCGCCTCTGATGAGAAGATAACCAGGCATAGCGTGAGCACTCCTGCATCAAAGAGGCGCAGTCTTCCAACGTGTCCCTGGCCCTTACTTATCCCACTCAAAAAAGTTTTACGGATTTAGATATACATTTTTGGTAGTTGCAATCGTCTAGATAATTCTAGGAAAATACGACAGTACGTATGGAAAGCATGCAGTCCCGATCGGGAGGACGCTGCGGAGGCCACCTGCTACCCAATGGTATGATATGATAGCAAAATATATGGACTAGCCCTGAGAAGGGGGAGTACGCATATAATAAGATGGTTAGCAGAGAGGGAAGACACAGGTCCGCGCGTGAGGGGGGACTGCACCGTGGCTGAATGACAGAGTCCAGCTCCAACCCGAGAAAAGAGATCCTGTGCACGGGGGCGAGTTTGCTCTTTTCTCGGTTGACCTGAAGACCCAACAGGTGGACGTGCCAGAGCACCTTGTCTCTGTGCATAATCAATTGCTCTCGAGAGTGGGCTAAAATCAGCCAGTCGTCAAGATAATTGAGTATGCGGAGAAGGGGACGAGAGGCTTCAAACGCTTCGCCCTATGGTCCTCTATACATAGCACCCATCTAGTCAGTCCAGCCGCGGAGCTGGGCGATAAACCATCTCCAACCCCTCGGCCAAAGCAGCCCCGGAAAGCACGGCTAACATGTCCGTTTCAGGATCCGTCTTGAAAGCACTCACCTCCCCGGAGGAGGCGAGCGGGTCTGGATCATCATCGGACAATGAAAGCCCACCCTCCGATGCCGCTGTGGACGTCTTGTCTCCGGTGTCATCGAGCGTAAGGGCTACCATCTGTTAGACGGATCGCTTCCTCCGCCCGAAGCTTGGATGGAGCGCTTGGAGGAGCGGGAGGTCAGCGGGCCCGGAGGCGGCGGATTATCTCTCGCTGAGACCCTCAGATCTGCCTGTGTGCCCACTGCAGTGCAGGGGACAACTGGGGTGGTTCGCCCCTTTACAAGAGCTAGCCGCGATCTTAATTGCGCAACAGACATGGCATCGCAATGACGACATGAACTGCCCGCAAGCATCGCATTAACATGTTGGACCCCCAGACATGCAACGCACTGATCGTGCCCATCATCCGGAGACAGGAAACCACCGCATCCAGAAACGCACAGTCAGAGCGCCATCCTGAAAAGGACATGCTGCACGACTGTGTTGCTCTTTTAGGAAATTTGCAACTCTACGCACCCCTCCGGAGGACCGGACCCAAAGAACGGCAGGCAAGTGAGAATCCCAGCTCGACCGTCTGCCGCCGCATGTACCCACTCTGGACCGGGAGACCACTCTCGTTCGCTCGGAATAGCTGGATTACAGCAGAAGGAACCCTCATCGACTCTCTCAGAAGGCTGTAAAAGTCTCTGAAGCGAAAAGGATGGCGTTTGCTTGCTTCCCTATGCTTTTATGCGGAGCTAATTGGCAATAAGTTCCAGGTGCGCAAGCTTACGCTGCCAACTCATTTGGCATTTCATTGGCCCGTTATAAACTCTTTCAGACGATTGGCTTTCTGAAAAGAAATCCCCATTTGTGGATTAATAAATAAATCCACTGAAAGCCAGTGGCGGTTCTAAGGGGGGGCCAGGGGGGTCGGTGCCCCCGTGTCAACAAGCTTGGCCCCCCCTCTGGCCCCTTAAATGTGGACGCGTATTTTTGTGTCTAAACGCCACGGAGAAGCAAGATCAGCCGTCGGTGGTGCACGCTCTCAGTGTCGTGCACACTCACTCTGTCTGCTTTCACGCACTTTCGCTTTGTCAGTTACAGTGCTGCGCGCATCAGTTTCTCGCATTCATCAGAAGTTAACCCCAAAATTGACACAGGTAATAAGATTCAACTTCATTCATGTTCATGTTGTGAAACACTATCAAAATGTCCACTGTTGATGATATTAGACTACTGTTTTCAATAGCGATTATACCAAATTTAATAGAGGAAGTCCTCGGCTATGCATGAGGTTATTATTAATCAGAGATTAAGTGTAAGTTACATAGCTTGACGTTAGGAAATGCAGTCTTGAACTTACAAACAGCAAGCCGGAGAACAGATGAAACAGTGATATAAAGCATAAAGCACGAATCTTTAACACATGATTTATTTATAACACATTTTTAAACATGATGGTTCAACTTACTAATTTCTAATAACTACTTTTTTATTTTTCCCATGGTGACAGTCCGTGCGTAACATTTTGCTAGTTATTCTGCAAGATAGTTGTATTCAGATTAAAGTATCTTTAATCTATAGTCTTTGATTCAGATTAAAGTGTAATTTAAAGACTTCACTAGGCTATGTTAACTAAAGTTGGAATAATTAGTCAAGTTATTATTTAACTGGTTTGCTGTATAGACAATCAAAAAATACACAGTAAATATTTCTTAAAAGGAGGCTAATAACACGAACTTAAATGAAAAAAATATATATATAAAAATGCTTTTATTCAAGAAATAAACAAAGAAAAAAAGACTAATTATGACTCCAGAAGAATGATTTGTGTTTTATAGAAAATACTGTAAAAATGTCCTTGGTTTGATTTAGATCACTAGAAAAACATTACTGTATTTTCAACTGCATCTGTTACAGTTTACAGATGTAAAAATGTGTCTTGATGTACTTGAATGTTAGAAATGTGTTATCCAACAATACCAAGTTACTTGTCAAATAAATGAACATGGAAGATTATTTTGAGTTTAAGTTATTTAATTAGCTTATTTATGTTAGGGCAGCATTAAGACAGGGCACCATGGTGGGTAGCACAATCGCCTGACAGCAAGAAGGTTGCTGGTTCGAGCCCCTGCTGGGTCAGTTGGCATTTCTGAGTGGAGTTTGCATGTTGTCCCCGTGTTGGCGTGGGTTCAGTTTCCCCCACCAGTCCAAAAACATGTGGTATAGGTGAATTGGGTAAGCTAAATTGTCTGTGGTGTATGGGTGTTACCCAGTGATGGGTTGCAGCTGAAAGGGCATCTGCTGCCTAAAACATGCTGGATAAGTTGGTGGTTCATTCTGCTGTGGCAGCCTCAGAATAATAAAGGGACTAAGCCGAAAAGAAAATGAATGAATGAAAGTTCATGAAGACTGCAGAGTGATGCATAAAATAATGACTTTAAATAATTAAGTTTGTGATGTATGTACAAGTGTACCCCCTAAAAGTACAAGTGGCCCCTGCCTGGCCCCCCCAGTTACTCTGGTCTACAACTGCCACTGTTGATAGCATTGAAGTTCCCCATCCGAAGGGGAACATTCATTCTGCCATACAGTACATCATGCGTTGTGGGAGTGAACATATGGTAGTAAAGCATGGTCCCATAGCCTATTCACTATATGTGGTCTACTAAAACCGACTGGCTGTTTATAACAATAAGAGATGTAAACATTTTGAAGAGATCCCAAACATAACACATAAATCAAACAGTTTTCAAAGGGGAAACGGTCTGTTTTACTGTGGTGACATGGAAAAGTTCGCAAAACATTCAGTTGAACATTATTATCTACAGGTCTCTTTATTCACTTATATTTTGCATTGTGTTAATGTTTTTTTTACTGCCCTGTTTCCTTGCACACTACAATTTCTCATGGCATCAGGTTTATATTTAGCATCTGGGTACTGTGAAGAACAACATCTCATTTCCTTATACTTTAGGAATGCAGCATAGCAGGTGTGAATTGGCACAGCAGTGCATTTTACATACAATTTTTTTTTTTTTTTACCAAAATGCATGTGACTAATGCCACCCACAAAACCAATTTATCTAGATTCTGTCAGCTCAGCCACTTTCACTTTAATAGTGAAGCACATGATAAATCTATTACAAAATATAGCAGAATCATGATATTTTACAGTTATTTATGAAGAAATCCTTATTAATAATATATTTATATTGAATATTAAAATAGAATACAATACTAGTTCAGTATGTAAGTTTTAATGTTTAGGCGTTCACAAAAATTACAAAAAAAAAAAAAAAAAAAAAATATCCAGTGAGTAGAAGTTCTTAGAGATCTTATAAAAGCTTATAGAAAAGCAACCATAAACTCAAAAACGAAGTTCAAACAAAAGGTGCTTCCTCTGTAATTAATTTAGCAGTGCTCATTGGACAAAGGATTCATAAAGAAATAATAATTATATATAAAAAAAAAAAGTCCAAGTCACTTGAAATGTAGGTGAAAAAGTTCAAAAGCGTTTATTCCCATGATTATTATTTACAATTGAAATCTGAATTATTAAACCCCCTTTGAATTTTTTATTCTTTTTAAAATATTTCCTAAATGATGTTTAACAGATTCAGGAAATGTTCACAGTATGTCTGATAAT